CTGTCGATACTAAACTGTGTTCCTCGAGGAATTGTTGCAGCTGCAGCAAAAACAGTGGAATCCAGGCATGCTCAGCATGTACTTGTCCAATCGTTCTTTAAAACATTCCTCTGTCTGGGCACTTACCACACATTCAGGAAGATTGTTCCACTCATTCACAACCCGTATGGATAACGCGATATCGGACCGGATATGGTTCCGCCTAGGTTTAAAAAGTTTCAAGCTCTGGCCCCGTGTTGAACAATCTGTGTTGAGCTGGAAGAACTGCAGCACCTCCTTCCCCAAATCGCCCCTTAAAATGCGTCTAGCATAAATCAGATCACCACGGCGATGGCGGTAGTCCAGAGTAAATAAGTTCACACAATGGAGACGAAGGGGATAAGGTAAAACACGTAGCATAGACATAAACTTGGATCCGCGCCTCTGAACCTTCTCAATCAACTCACATTCAAATTTCGTGAGTGGGTGTATGGCAGGTAGGCCGTATTCCAGTATTGGACGAACGTGGGAGGAAAACAGGAGCCTGAAGTTCTGCGGAGTCAATTTGTAAAACGACCTTCGTATGACACAGAGCATCCTGGTGGCAGATGCTACCTTCCGCAACGTGTCCTGGGTTGTTCTTAGGTCTGGAGAAATAAGTACACCCAAATTCTTCTCACCAACCACATTTTGCAACAGAAAACCACCAATGTGGTAAGCACCGAAAGGTTCCTGATCACCGATCGGGAGAACACAGCATTTATCACGATTGATAGGCATTTTCCATTTGACCGACCAATCGTGCAGCAGATCTAGCGTCAGCTGCAACCTGTCAGCATCTTCAAGCCTGGATACTTCCGACCAAAGTTTAAGATCATCAGCATAGATCAAGCAGTCTATTTGGAGCACCTCCAGGAGATCGTTGATAAAGACTTTGAATAGTTCGGGACCAAGTACGCAGCCTTGTGGAGCCCCACTGGTCATAAGAACAGGACCAGAGTCGACTTCGTTAACCCTCACCTTCACACTACGGTTATCTAGGAAATCCGCGATCCATGCGATCAATTTACCAGCGGTGCCAATCTGCCGAGGTTTGATAAGAAGTCGCTTGTGTGGAACCCTATCAAACGCCTTGCTAAAATCCACGAAGACTAATTCAAGGCGACGACCAGCATCCACTGACTGCGCCCATTTTTCTCGGGCAACAAGCAGATTTTTAATGTAAGAGCGTACTCTCCGAAATCCGTGCTGAGCAGGAGAGATGACGTCCAATTTCTCAAGGTGAAAATGCAAGGCCTGTTTCAAAATCCTTTCTATGGTTTTACAGAGGATTGATGACAGGCAAATCGGTCGGTAGTTCACTGGATCTTGGCGATTCCCCCTTTGTACATGGGCTTCACAACATTTGCTTTCCATTTAGTCGGGAGGCGATCTGATTCAAGTGAGCTAAGAAATACTTGACAAATTGGTGCAGCAATGAACTCCGCCACCTCTTTGAGGAACAAGGGATGTAAGCCATCGGGATCCGGTGAAAAATTCGAGTCCAAGTCAAGAAGCAGTTCCAATACTCTGTCAGTGTTAATTTCAACATGCTCTAATGGAGAGGGATGACAGGGAGTGTCCTCAACAACTAATGGCGCCTCCGTCTTATACACAGTGGAATATTGCGAAGCTAGTAGACAAGTTTTCGCCATGTCCTCATGAAGCACGGTGTCCTCTTTGCTTGAATACAGTGCGGGTATACCGTTGACAGCTTTGGTGCTTCTTTTTAAGTATGCGAAAAGCTTTTTCTGATCAACCACAGATTGCTCGGCTAGAAGCTGCCCATATAATTCCTGCGATGCAGCCTTGACCTTACTGAAAATAATCATTTGCTTATAACAAATTAACCTGACTTGATAAGTAACATCGGAATACATTTCTACAGTACGTCCGATGGAAGAGGGCCGATGAACGCATTCCGGAATGTGAAGGGCGGTTCATGAACCGACCGCGGCTCGCTAATGGTGAATGCCGGTCATTTACGATAGTTGTCCCCGCCATCAAATGCTTAGTGGAATGGCGTGGGTGCGCGAGTGCAGACACATTAATTTCTCTCTAACCTTAGTGGTGAGGACATATAGCATCCTCCTCATACAAGTGGTTTAGTTCAGGCATCAGCTGAATGCAAGCGTAAAACTGGTGAGGTATAGGCCGGCACGCCGGCAGTTCGAGCGAGACAACTAAAGACAGTCACATGACACTGTCCGGCGATTGCTAGCTGTCAGCTAACCTCGATCTGAATGCTGAGCGCGGAAGGTCGTGGCAAAACGTTCATCGGCCCTCTTCCATCGGACGTGCTGTACAATCGATGGAGGGTATTTTAGAAGGTAGGGACATCGTCATTTTTGTAATGGAAAATAAAATTTTGTTGCACAGTGTAATTAAAGACCTAAGCCATCCGCCTTATTTTTGTTTAGAAAAGTGTATGAGATATTTTATACCGTACTCACCAGACAGCATTGAGAGCCATGTGCGTTTGTGCTGTGTCATACATGAGGATCAAATTGCTCCGTAGAGAATCAGACTTCTGTATTCATATCCGTCTAATTCCTACGGTTCATCTTCGGGTTTATCCCACACTAATTTTCGGCGTTCCACTGCTAAAGCCGTGATATGGAGCTTGATCAACAAGGCTACTCAAGCAACGGAAAGCTTCACTGATTAACAATGAGCCAAACATGGTTTTGACCAGAACTATTTACTTTACAATGTCCTGCTTACCCGACATGACAGTGTTAGTTAGTTATCAGGTCTGCAATAATAAACGTGCCCACTAGCCTCCAATTATGCACATGAACTCTTGGCCGGAGGGGTGACTGGAGGCTTGTTTAAACGCTTGAGGTCAAATATGGTCCAGCTACGGTGCTCCCCCTAATTTATACTTGCTCAAGTAGAACCAATTTGCTAAATCAACAACAACGTTAATGATTTCCCGTTGGCGTAGCCAGAGTGATGACAGTATTAGCGTAGGCGAGTAGAGATCGCTGCGCCGTGAACCAGTTAATTTTACACATGATGCACGCAGATCGTCTAAAATTTTTCGCTTGAAAACGACGTTTTCATTGGCATGACAAATAATACTATGTTTGTAGGTCACCCTGTCCTTAATACTGTAACCACCTGCTTTCAACATGAATTCCTGTGTGGGTAAGGCCAATTATTATTGAGCCGCTCATCGTCAACCAGCTTTTCCTAATTCTCACATTTTTCTGTACTCTGGTCGACAAACAGTCTATTGCAGGCCTTAAAGATATGTACGAAAGGTAGACGTTTACTTTAGGCAAATTGTCTTTGTAACTGACCCTGTTGGCTTTAGTTAGAGTGTAATCAAGCGTGCAATCATATTCCATTTTCAAAACTAAGTGATGCGCCATCACCTGCAAGCGAGTAGGATAGTGAAAGTATGCTTATAACTAAGGCCATTCTGTCAAGATATGAGGTGCAGCCAGACACCTTTGCATGCATGAAGCAACAGCAGTAGACGTTAGTACATCCAGCCAAAGGCGAGAACGAATCTGGTGGTTACTTGGCTAAAACTCGGTGCGGTACATCATGTTACACCTGTGACGCACAAAGACTTTTCCACGACACTAAACAGATGTGACTAAGTGTGTAAGTAGATAATATTCGGGACCAGTGGATCATACTTGGTAAAGGTATTTACTAAATTCCTTTTTCGTGTCCACGGAGCAAGAGTGAGAGCATATAACTTTTGTGAATCACGAAATTTTTATTCATTAATTGGTGACGAAATTGCTTAGTACCGTAACTAGCAACGACGGCCTCTCGATCAAGCTGATAGTAGTTACTTCGGGACGCCGTTAAGGTTCGTGAAGCGTATGTAACAGGCCACTACGAACTACGAAAAAGTTTATGTAATGATGTCCCAAGACCGTAAGGATAGGCATTACAAGAGAGGAAAATCGGCTTTCGTGAATCATCATGTGGCCCAGTGGCCCAGTGGCACAAGCTGCTGACTGGCGGTTCAAGCCGCTGGTGGTCATGGGTTCGAATCCTGATGGATGCGATGGATGTGCACTACTGATGATGTCCAACAGGCGGAAACTGCAGTCTAGTGCTTTTCCGGGCATGTGGACAACTATCTGCTTTGGAAGCTGGCTGTGATGAACCATTGTTCCATTGAACATCGGCTGAAGCCAAGCGTTTCTTCAATGCGTTAAAATCATTCTCATGAACAGCGTCCCGTTTCCATGGTTGGTTCTTGTGCAAAAGCTTGAGAAGCGGATGCAACTGTGTTGATGTTGCAGGTATGGACCGGGAGAACTGTGTGACAACTTCCAAAAAAGATGGTAGTTAATTCCCCTTCTTGGGAGTTGGAGCTTTAAGGGGCGCCCTTGTTTTCCCTTCTAACAGACACAATTCGTGGCGGGGCCGTTCATACACAAGATTTTGCACACTCGTGACAAGAAATTCACACTTTTTTCAATATCGGCCCACAGTCTGATATCTTTCTGAAAACTACACTAATTGGCCCATTCTCCCCTTCTCTAGTTAAACGTCTGTTCAACTGCATGTCTAATCGTTATCACATACTTCCAACGCTCCGTACTTGTCTCTGCTTTCATTCAAGTGTACCAGTAGGCAATTAATAGTAATACGACCTATTTGTCACCAACTAACTTAAGAATAATAATCTTTCTTTGTTTTCAAAAGACAAGTCCATAGAGGGATAATTAAATGACAACAGAGTGTGATGCCTCTATGTGAAGAAGTACAAAGACAGGTACTGAGAGAACAACTACAAAGAATTTATAAAGCCGTGTAGAGTTCATTGGGCGTGTAAATTTAAGACGGTGGTTGTTCGTTTTTTTACAGCACGAATTTTGTTACTGATCCAACTTCGATTAATGGGTTTATGTGTTGGGATGGATCTTCTAGATGTTGATCTACTGTGACGTGATTTCTTTGATCGCCTATTACTAACGTGAACTTCGATGCATTTTCCCACTTCTTTATAGGTCGGCTGGGCTGCTGTACAAATCTCACATTTGACCATGATCAACTATCTGACATCAGATCCGACTGAACGAGTATTGTTGATCTCGATGCGCTACCTCTTTGCTTCTGTGGCAGACATCTCTACGTTTATAGTGTCATATGTATTACTGCAACCCAGAGTTGCCGCATTGCCGGACGGTGTCCAGGCTGTGAGCGACATGGTACCATCACACAACTCTACCAAAGAAACCGACTTTGAACTGCATGAGTTCGCAACCGTGGGAAACGCCAGCCAGTTTACAGCTAAGGACATGCCATTTTTCCGGACTGTGAGCTTGGTCTTGACTTCGTGGGGGTTACTTTTCGTACTGTTCTTTCAATTCGTGGTCCCGGAGCGTCTGATAGGTTTAGAAGGAGTGGAAAAGTTGGACGTTAACGGAATAGAAGGGAAGCAAGGTACGTTGGATGATTCATTATTTATATTTGCCTGCATAGCAGTCAGTGGCATTGAATTTGTTTGCTCGGCGGTCATGAGTACTGTTTCATGTTTCCGTTATCCGAAGGTGTAGTTGCACTGGTGACCGCATGTGGAATGGTAGGTCATCCACATTGACCCTCACCGACTTTCAAACTAAGTGTCGGACTTGCTTTGATCGTATTCACTTGAAACATTGCAGGCAAACAGTAAAATAATGTCAAGTAGTTACTCTACTGAATGCAGTTAATAGGCGTTGTTACCTTTACTGTTGCAGACGCTGCATAATTACGTGTCATTATATTAGTCGGTGCAGAACTAAGGAGTTTCAGATTTCATTTAGCACGGTTTGGCTGAAAAGTATCCAGTTTAGACTCAAAGTGCTCAAAATGCTCTGTTGCTACTCGACGCTTCAGAAACAGAAAAATCGGACCTGCAAGTTTGGCAGGTCAATCATCGTCTGTGTATGAATTTAATAATTTATATTTCTCGTGCTACCGAGAAACCGTGCTCACAAAGGGACGAATCGTATTTGCATGTGCAACATGCTCATGCATGCAGGGTTGTCAATGGTTGGGAGTTATTCAGAGATGCATTAGGCACGTTTGGGAAGCTCATTTGGGAGTTTCACTGTCGCTTTCTGTCAGAACATGGGTATTCTCAGCTTTCTCCGGTGCAGACCGCAAGCGAGTTCATGAAACGGGAAGAAACGTGAAAGGAGGTAAGGCGATTGGAGACCACCCAAAATCAGACCAGTAGCACACTATCGTGCACAAGAGTCTAGCGTAATACGGGTCCATTTGTCTGTACTTGGTTTAATTTTATTCAAGTGGGGAGGAAAAGAGAACGCTAGAATTAATATATCAATGTAGCTGCATAGGAAGCTTCAAAGCTTCCGCTGTGTTCGAGGAGTAATGTTAGACAGTTAATACATCAGGGCGAGGTAATGCAGGGTGGAATGCTTGGACATTCCAAATCTAAATATCGTATTGACCTGATCAAACAAGATGTATTACATGTTGCGGAGTTGTCGTGATACTAAGTGGTCTCAGTTACCTTCTTTTCAGTCTTCACTTTTAGGTGATGATTTATAGCTAGCTCAGCCACGCAACAGAAAAGTTGCTGTTGAGGTGGGAAGAGTGGAGAAATAAATTAATTAATTAACATTTTTCTCCGTACAATGCTAGACACGCTCGTCAAAACATGATCAGCAAATTACGCTCATGTTCAAACTCTAGAACACAGGGTGATTAGGAGATTGATCTCCTTGACAATATATGTGAAGCTCATAATGCCACGCGGAGTTAGTGGGATCTCTGTCGCTGTTTTTGGATGGTTGCAACCATGCCTGTGTCTTTCGGAATGCAAACGCGAAGAAATGCATACGGTTGCCGTGGTACAGCAAAGAGTTCCGGGGCGTAATGGCAAGACTGTGGTATACGACCCAGCACGCCAACAACAGTGACAACTGTCTCTATGTGGCATAATGTTGTAGCACTGATGTTCACACCCTGATTCTTCGAACTGCACTCATTACTAAGCACAAACGCATTATCAGTTTTAACACTTTTAATATAATGGAAATGTTTGGTCATGTCTGAAGGGGGTATGTTCTTACCATCGACTTGCTAATTTATTTCAACTGTGTGCAAACGGCTTCCTCCCATAATGAACGCGACACAATGCAGGTTCTCTCGACGGACAAGCGGCGCTCCTTCACTAGGTTATACATGCAGCGTACGATACAAACAATTTGTATAGAAAACAGACGCTGCTGTAGCATCGAATCTTCAGGATGGTACCATTAATCATAACATTCAACGAAGAACACAAACATACGATGCGGCAACTTCAGTTAGGTAAGCGAATCTGGTGCGAATTACGTCTGGGTCACCATAAAATGAGGCTATGCATCACAAGTTGTGCGATAGGTATTCACTGAGGCATTCATTCGACCCGCTGATGGTTGGCTTATTGTCTGCCATATAACCGTAGCGTCCAGTTGCGGCTGGGGTTCACTGTTGATTCACATCGTTTATGCGCTTATTTTACTCTACGACAATTCACTTTGAATAGTTCTATGGTACTTTACTGATCCCCACAAATACTTGCTTGAATTCTACTCCAGTAGAGAAGCAGCACCACATGTTTACGCTCCGCAAAAGACGTAAACGTCACATCACTCACGAACCACCAATATCATAGTAATATTCCTTACCTCGTAGGTTGCTTTCAACCCGTTTGTTCACCTTCATTTCCAAAGATATCAGCCTTATGAAGACGTGTTGTGCAAATCGTCTTCCTTTCTAATGTCCCTACACCTGACCATTCGAAACTATAAAATTACCCATAGGTGCATGCCCCTGAGTTTGATTCAACAAGAGACATATAGCAGGGCTGTTTCAATGTTCGTTAGCAACTTCATGATGGGAATGAAACTGCGCCACTCCATCTCTCTGTCTTCGACATTTCGGGAGTAGAAGTCGTATTACTTGATTCACCGTTGATCTTGGAGTGCAGCAACGATACGGCTCCCCTTGAACCAGATACAGCTTTGTAATGAAGCGCTACTGAATAAACTAACAAAACGCTACAGACTTTATGGTGCTTAATGCACTTCGAAAGTGAAACGCGTTTTACATCACTAAACCAATACACAAAGAGTTCTCGAAATCATCAACTTATATCCAGTAGTGGGCAACCGTATAATGAGCTAGGTGGTGGTATTACCTCTGTCAGTTCCAGCATGGAAGATGTAGCCGCGTGTATCAGTAAGTCTCTTTTGGCTTTCGTAAACTAAACAGCCTGGGAACGTTGAAATGAAGGGTGAATAACACAGTACTACGGACCAAACTTACTGTCATCACAGCTAGATTTTTTGTTAGCAAGTTGACTATAGTTGGGCACTGATGCCTGCACAGCAACACCTATATCGTACAGGGGAATTATGAAGTAATCCTCAAGTTCAACACTTGATGATAAGTAAAAAGCTCAAGTTGGTCACATTAAATTATTTGTTTAACTGCTGATACTGGTTGATCCACGTCCTTCGTGCCTTTTAGTAACCGAGTGCCTCGGTATTGATAATTTTCCACTCATGTGCGTACTTCCATGAAACCTAATAGATGACGTAACGAAAGCATGTAAAGCTAATCACAGTTGGCGTTTGTCATTTTCTCGGGAACTTCGGGACCGATCACACCAGCCGTTAGGTACCGGTATAGCCATGACAGTCGCGAAGTTAACATCACACTTGCTCATATTTTCCCTTCCTTGACTCATTGCTTTATTTCACCATTTTACTTACTACTTTAATGCTCCTGAGCTATAACTACTACTTTATTAGTATTATTACTAATTGCCACTTTAATAACTCTAACGACATTAGTCAATAAAATAAAGCCATTGCACTTCGGCGCATGAACTGTAGTCGTTGTTTGAATGGGCCAAACCAACCTCTGGATTGTTAAGATTATCTGTGCGCCTAGCCTACAGGAACAAGGAAAAAGCTGTTTATCCTTTTGGTTTGGCAACTCAACTGATACTCCATAACCGTCTCCCATTTGCTATGCATCGATAGCGTTTCCCTATGCGCTCTAGATTTATTTTCAAAGTGTTCACTCTTCCAGCTTGCGTATTTACTGTTTTTAACTTAATTTTCCGGACATCCGACTGCCAGTAGTCTGATACGTCGGTTCTTTGGGATTGTCCATCACTCTCATATAGTACTTAAAGTGTGTATCATGGACCAACGAATTCTAATCGCATAAATTCCCACATCCATATCGAATGTTCTATCAGTAAGCGCCTGATGTGGATGTTGACAAAGTGTCTGTCTGTTACCTGTCTGTTACCCACCACCTCGTCTATACTGGCTCCAAGAGACAGTTGCTCATTGCTGAAGAGAAAGGGTGCCCCGTCCTCGTGTCGGTGGTAGGCTCAAGAAGTAGTTGCTTGTATCCAGTGTGGAAGGTGCTACGGCCCAGCCACTGGTCCGCATGAGTTGCCGCATAGACAGACAGGAATGCTACTGCTGTGCATGTTGAAGGATTGTGGGCTGGCTCCGTTGATGAAACGCGGCTTCCATCTACATGCTTCCTCGTCTTACAGTGAATATGGAATGCGCGGATGGAGCTGTGGTTGATGTAGCGCAACCCACCCATTGTCCCTCTGTATGCGCAGGCGTCCTATGGCTGTCCCCGTGGAGGCCGCCGAGACAGGCAAATAGGGAAGAGGATGACGTCAGCCATCAGTATGCAACGACGAAACACTTTTTGAAGCGGAGTTAAAATTTGGCTTGCTCGGTTCCTTGACTACTGGACACCATGCGCATTAAATTGCAAACGAGGCTGCTCGCATTGTAGATCCGAACCAGTGCTTATAGCAGCACTCATCGGGAGTGGGCATCGGCAACACTACATACGACGTGGCAGAATAACGACTTCCACCAGCTTCTTGAGCCTTGATGTATGGGAGTATTCGTTCTCTTTGTCAGCATCCGAGGCAACAACCGGTGACTTCGACTGTGTGCGTTCCGTTTTTAACACACTCCATTTTCATCTGTGCCCCTCATACCAAAACGCGCTGAAGTATTGACTGACGGGAGTTTGAACAAAGAGACCTTTCTGTTTGCCTCACGCTGTCCATTCATCTAGCGCCCTCTCCGACTACAAGCATGCAAAGGAAAATCATAGACTGTATCCTTGGTTACCAACTGGTTGTCTACATAGAATCTATTGAGTTATACGCCTCATTCTTTGTTGTCATCGCATGAGTGTTTTGGATGCGTATGTGTCACTGTATAAAATTTACTTTTGTAGCGACCATACGTCCAGATTTCTTAGTGCCGATGTGACAAACCGGTCACGGCTGATCAATGTAAGCGTACAATATGTGATTAACCTCATATTTGATGTCAATGGGTTTTCCAAAGCACAAGTAATCACCGACAGGTATCAACGTTAACTTATGTGTGCATGGC